TACAAACACTTACACAGCTACTATGTACTCGAACTTGCAGGTGCCATTTTCTCACCCAACCTAAGAATCCCTAAAAGCAAAGCACATTATAAGATTTTTGCAGACTAGGGCTATTATGTAAAGTCTGATAGATTTCCTATTTTTGCCTGTGTGCTGTTCTAAGAAAAGCAATATGAATGGCATCTAAAAAGGATTTTAATTCTGGAAATTAAATACTGAAGAATAAAGCCATTCTTTGGCTTTATTTACCAAGAGAACAACAGATGCTGAGATACTGTAATCTAGCAGGATGTGAAGCATACAAGAAACTAATACTTGGCAAATACCCACAAAGTGTTGAGGTAGGAATACAGCAAAACTGGAAACAATGAGGAACCTGCAAGCACAGACTACTTCTGCAACTTAGTCAAGTTGTTCCATTTTGAGATTCTGTTCAATATAAAAAGGACATCTTCAAGAAAAAGGCCTCAAGTCAATCGTCATTTAAAAAAAAACCCAACATAGGAGGGCAAAGTGTAGTATAAGACTATCCTTGAAATTTTTGACAATTTTATTGCTGCATTGGAGGTAATTTGCATAAGAAAAAATTTCACACTCTATAACAAAACCAGTTCCAGCTCTGGGAGCCTGTTTTTAAAACATGGGCCTTAAAGCTTAAGTAAAATGACAACAAAAATTCGAATACCAGTAAAACTAATCAAACCCCACTATTTCATATTTAGTGTATATACATTCTTTGCTACTGCAAATATTGTATGTTATCACATAATTTGCTGTTATGGTCTCACTGCTATTAAAAATGTAAATACCTCCCTGATGTATGTAACTGATTATCTGAGTTTCACAGACAAATTCAAATTCCAGAAATTATAAAGCTCTCTCCCTAATCTGCTCTCAAATTTCAATCAAAGAAAATAATTTTTCAATTTTGACCATCAGTTTAATGTTTCTACGTCATTTAAGTAACTGTGAGTCTAGGAAATGCTGACTAAACAGATGTAAGCAAAGCAATTCAGGAACACTATTCATCAACTAGTTTGTAATCTAAGGGTTATTTCCCTGCTATTCCTTTGCAATGTAATTCATCAAACTGAAGAAACTCCCTTTGGCAACCAGGACTACTGGTGGTGTGATTAATAGTACCAGCATCTTTGGAATACCATCATAGTCTTTTACTATAATACCTTTAAGGGTATATATAACTGTGCATCTTACAAACATGCTACTACTTAACATTTGTTGATTTTAGGAATGCATTTCTTATTTAATTTCACAAACACTTTAGGTGTTTTTTTGAAGACTTTGGCCATTGGTCATTTCATTATTTACTCAAAAATATTCCCAAATAACATCTGAACTTACATCCCCCTACAACTGTATGTTCTTCCATCCATAATTCTTCCCAAGCAAGCTGTTTTGAATAAATTACTCAATAAGAATTGCTGGGTTTTTTTCTCCCCCTAGAAATTAATGACTGAATAGGAAAGATCCATAAATATCTGGAATTCTTTTTCCTACAAATGTTGTGATACCACATCAACTGCTACAGTAACAGCTTTACAAAAGTTACCAGGCAGGAAGTTATTTCCTGCCCATTTTCAACATAAGCTATGTTTTTGTGTTTTTCCAAGCTGTATTTACAAATGCATTTTGACAGTTTACAATTCCGGAGAAAGAAAGGTAAAAAGAAGAGCATTTACGCCCGAATATATTTCTTCTACTTACCCAGAAGAAATGTGAGCCATATCTTGCTATCAGCTTTTATGATGAAGGTCTTTTTGTCGACAACAAACACTGCCAAAAGAACACAAGTACCTTAAGAACAGCCCCTGCAAAAGGAACTCTGTACTTTGCAACATCAGTTTTAAGTAAAAATCTTGACTAGAGTTCAAAAATGCTGAAATTTCATACAGAGTTCATAATCACACATAAAAGCTTTAAACAGCACAGATAGACTATTCAGGTGACTATACAAATCATTAAGTTTCTTATTTCTGAAAGAATATCTACAAAATAGCTTGTCAAAGGAGGATTTCTACACAGGTATGTTACGGACGAATTTGTTCAAACAGGAAGTCAAGACTTTTAAAGTACACACAACCCTCCACGCTTTCAGCACAGCGTTATCAAGAAACAAGCTGGTCATGCCAGCACTATGAACTGCGCTAGTCAACACCACCAGAGGGACTGTTTTAACAAGAGTTAGTTGCACAAACAGCACGTTTCCCCACTTCTCCCCCAAAGGATGCTGAAGTGGTAAAATAACTCTCTTCCTTCCCCTTGCCCCTGGTTCTCGCCGATCCCTGTGTGGTTCTTTGTCAGCTTTTCTCTCTTTTTACCCGCCACCGGGTTGTGAGGGGGCTGGAGGACGGGCCCGGGCAGGGCGGGAGCGCGACCGGCCCCTGTCCCGGGCAGTGCCAGACACCGCCCTCCCGCCTCCCTCCCTCCCTCCAGCCGGGAGACCAGCGGGGTGCCCGCTTCCTGCCCGCCACCCCCGGACCGCTGCTTCCCGAGGAAGGACGTCCCGGCGCTCCCTTCCCCGGGAACAGCCACCGCGTACCACGGGGGCTCGCCTGCCGTGCCGGGACACCCGGAAAGAGGGGCTGGAAGCGACACCCAGTCCCAGCGCGCTCCCCCCGGGCGGAAGGGCTGCCCCCCATCCTGGCAGGGGCATAGGGAGCGGGGAGGGGGGCAGGGTTCGGGGTAGCAGCCTCACCTCGGAGCTGCTCTCCGAAGACGCGCAGGAGCCTCAGGGGCCCGCGGCGTTGGGGGAGCGGGACCTGCTGGGCCGCGGGCCCCTCCCGGCAGGATCCCCGAGGGTCGCCCCGGGCTCCACGCCGGCCGCCGCCTCCCTTCCGCATGGTGCGGGCCCCGCCGGAGAGCTGCTGCCTGCCCGGCGAGTGCGGCCGGCGGCCGCGGCTGGGGCTGGCGCCTGGCGACTGCTGCTGCTGCCCGGGCTTGAGCGGCGGCGACTCTTTGTTCCTGCCTCGGCTCGGGACGACCATCTCCGCATAGTCCCCGCCGGGGCCGGGGCGCCGCGCCGGAGGGGAGGGGAGCCGAGCCGATGAGGGCGGTGCTCGGCGAGGAGCTTCCCCCACCCCCTGGCAGGGCCCGGAGGCCACGGGGCGGAGCCGCAGCCGGCGGCTCGTAGTACCGGGGCGAGGGGGCGGCCGATCCGTGCTCCGCCGCCGCCCGCTCCGCCCGGCTGGGCACGTGGGGGAGGGGGCGGCGCTGCCGGCGGGGCGGGGAGCGGCCCCCGCGCCCCCCGCTCCGCCCCGCCGCTCACGGACGCACCGCCCCCTCAGCCCGGCGGGGAGGAGGAGCGGGAGGACGAGGAGGCGGGAGTGAAGCGCTTTTCGCTCACTCCCTCCCTCTCTTGCCGGAGGGGCGGGGGAGGTTTTCCCGCCGGTCGCCGAGCGGGCGGGGCTGCCGCCACCCTCACGCAGCTGTGGTCTCTTGCCCCTGGTGTTTCCCTTGGTTGCCCTTCCCGTTCCTGGGCCGTTCAGCTTCGTAAGCGTTGTCTCGGTTAAACCGAGACCACCCCAGAAGAGCCCTTCCCCCCGCCCAAATTGCCAAAATTTTTAATGCCAGGAGGTAACCCGGCTGTGTTTTTTATTGCCATGTCCTAGGGGCTTCCCCGCCACAGAAGACACCCTTCTTTCCTCCTCTTGCACCTCCTCGTTATGGAATTTAAACGTGGGTTTGCCTTACCATGTGCCAGCGATGTGGCCTCTCAGCCCAGGAGCACCAGGCAGCTCCAGCCCAAACCTTGCTTTGGGTTCAGAGGTTAAAAGGCCTTATTGTGCACAAGTTCTGCATAACGCGGACCCTTGAGGTATTGTTTTATGACTTTTCCAGAGCAGTTCTCCTCAGGAACTTCTCAGCAGCAACCACTGTAGCTCCTACTGTAACAGCTGGAATTACTGTTCTTTTGAAGAGTGTTGAATATACAGCACAACTGTCAAACAAGACCCAGCTGCAGAAAACTGTCATTCCTCCTCCTACCAGTGCTTTAGCACAGAGCAGTGCTTAGGCAGCAGCTCATCCGATAGGGATACATTAATTTAATTACCACTTTTTGATAGTGTTGATTAAGTATAGCAGAATATAACATCTTCAGTAACTACAACCTCTCCAAGCAGATCCATTTCATTCTTTCCTCCCTAACATCTTCTTTTTGTCCCTTGGAAGTCCTTTCTTGATCGTACCTATTCCTTGCCTCCTAGGTGCTCATCATTGCTGTCTTCAGGCTTTTCTTTATCCCTCTGCTCTCTTTGTTTCTCTGTTTGGTTCTGCTCTCAAGTTTCCTACGTTTGAAACTCTCTGCTTCTTTTTCCTGGCTTTTCCATATTTTTCCTCTGTCATAACAGATGTAGGTCTCTTTCTAAAATGTTTACCACCTCTTTCTTTTCATCTCTTTTTCCTAATTATTTTTATGAATCCTAGCCTGTGAAACGCATGGTTTGAGCCTTATGTGGCAAATACTGTACTAAGATAATATTTAAAAAATTGTTCAATAATATATATACTTTTATAGCTACCGAGGTAACGAATGTGTAAGGACAGGATGGCTTTTGTGTCTTTGTGGTAGTAGGAAGGCTGTTTACACCACAATAAGGGTGTAAAGATACAAACCTGTAAAGGTACTAAACAAATGCCTGTGGGGCTGACAGAGGGCCTGTGTGTCTCTTGGCTCCACATTTCTTTCCTTGCTGAGGGAAAATAGCCCTTCACTAGCTCTTTTGGGGAGATAATTGCGAAGGGCATGTCTTACATTGATCTCAAAAGGTGAGCAAGGAAGAAATAGTATTTTTCATATAAAACAGCCAGTCTCCTGAGTACCTAGGCCCTTCTTCCAGTGTGAATTACATGTACCAGTTTCGTATTGCAAGAAACATTTATCTGTGCTTATTAAAGGGAAGACACTTCAAGTGTTTGAAGAATACATGCTATTTTTCCCACCTGCTTTTCAAGAGAAAAAGTTACACAATCTGCTCTGGTTTATATTTGATTTTAATCAAGTAACCTTGCTGTAAATTTAGTAACCAAAGGAGTCTATTGTTACTGTCTGAGTGATTGAAGGGTACAGGCTCCAGATAGAGTTTTTAATGTAACCGACATAGAAAAAGAGTAGTATGATATGTTCTGCTGATTTTTAGCTCCTGAGACCTATTTTCAAATTTTGCCAAAACCAGTAGAGTCATGGAACACTTAGAAACTTGAAGGGTTGATATTATTAAGGTTCAAATAATCGCTGTGGGATGGCTCAACCATTGAGGTTAACTGGGCCTGCTCCAGCCTTCAGCAAACCAATTACCTTCAGGCTGTTTTCTTTTATTAAAGCTCTTCAGGCAATTTATTTCAAAAGGTACCACCCACAGAATCTGATTACAAAGGCACGTACTACTAAACAACTCTAAAGGTTTTAAAAGTTACTATAAGTATGGAAAAATAGAACATGACATTCTTAAATGTAAAGGTGCCCATATTCAGCAACTATGAAATGCTATAGAACACCATCAACACTACTTCAAAAGAGCTGCAGTAGAACAGTACACCTCTAAAAATAAAATTACACGTTTCAGTCTGTAAGACACAAGTAGTAAGAAATAAACCTTGGGTTTATATCATCACAGGAATTGCATATTTTTTCCAGAAGTGCTATGTTTAATACCTAACATCACGTTTCAGACAGAGTAGCTCATTACTAATCCTGCACATCACAGCGAAAGGAGTAATTCCAATAAATCAGCACAGACCTTACTGTTTATAACAAGAAGGAAGAGGAAGAAGGAAATATATCTCTGAAAATAAATTTAATTTCTCTTAACTCTCAAGGATGTTGAAGGATATATGTTAAGTCCATAGGAGAGACATCATCTTAATCAGTTTATCTTAACTCCTTTTGTCCAGGGAGTGCAAAATCCGTAAGCCGTTGCTTCACAGTTTTCTACTGTCCCAGGACAAGGCACATCCTGGAACACAACATTCCTCTTTCTGCTAGGTCTTCTCTATCTCTTTGCTCGCACATTTTCCATAATCACTGGATTGTCTCTTCATATTTCCAAATCACTCTGATAGGTATCAGCAACCTTAGTTGGATAGTGATTGTGGCACACTGTCAGTGACGATAACTCACAGTCCTCAGGAATGAGACCCTGCAAGTGAAACACACTGGCCTTGGCAGTTCCTATATATTCTCTAACATTATTCATTCCTCAGGACACTGGACAGGCACACCTCATTATCAAATAGTCCAGAGCTTGCTTTCTTTTCTTCCACTCGTTCTCATCTTCTGTACTGTTTCTTGGCACCAGTTCTCTCTCTTCCTCTTGCCTCAAATGAGACCTTTACAGTTTATTACCAATACTAACCCCTTCTCTCTCCCAAGGAGATCCGAATAAGAGTGCCTGTAGAGATTCCTTTTTTCAGTCTATAATGATGTTTCTTGTACTTCTCTGCTTTGTTCCAGCGGCACAGCCTCAGAGCATATTCTGCAGATTTTTCTGACAAAGCTGCCATTGCCACCTACCATGGGGCTTTGCTTCTGTGAAGTTTGTGTTGATCCCACACACTTTCACACATTCAGCAGCAGACTTAATAATAGCAGGACTGCATTGTAGCAAGTTAGGGAACTTCAGGCTCTTTTTCTCTGGTTTATTTAATCCAAGGTCAGCATGTTTCGGAAAGTATGTCGCTTCACCAAACAGTTCTGTGGCTGCTGCATGGTTAGATGTGCTCAACCTAGCATTAAACTAGTAATTTTGAGTGCTGACAGCAACAGAGCTGCAGCAATGTGGAGCTCAGAGCCCCAGGTAAGTAGCTGGGAAGTTAGAGGGTTTTGAGCTCCGCACCATATGGCCATATCTGACTTAACTCATTATTAATACTGATTGAGCTTCAGTCAAAGCCGAGCAGACAAATTCTTACTTACAGAAAGAACTTTATGAGAACAGAAATAGTTGGGACCTTTTCTTGTGAAGACCAAGCTGAATAGAAGTCCAGAAGGCAAAGAAATCTCTTAAGGCAGAAGTAAAAATGCAGAATTGCCCTTGGAGGAATCTGGCAGAAAAAAAACCCAGTGGAATGCAGTGGCAAACTATTATAGTGTGTACCTTGTCCTATTTAACAGCATTGTTGGACCAGTTCACTTGCTGCAGGATATCACTATTCCCCTTGGAGTCAACCCCTTTAAACATACATTGCCTACATCCTGAAGAGGGAAAAATATGCTTCTGGTGAGTTATTGATACAGCAATCTGATCTCTACTTGCACATCTGTGTTCATATGAATCTTCTCTTACTTTTATAGTTGCAGTTGCATTTTAACTATATATATGAAAAACTATATAGAACTGGAACATCTGTGTCTGTATGGCTAACTGCTCAAGCAAGCAAAAATTTGTTTCTACTAGAAACAAATAAGAACAATTTACCCAGCTTGCCTACCCTGGCAAAAAGAACGACAAAAAAAAATCACATGTTTACAAGGAGAGGTCCTGAAGGCCCTTCTTTCTTTGACAAAGAAATTACTTCCTTCATTTCTATGACAGTGATTGTAAATCTCAGAGTTCCTGCTACCAGAATAACACTGAAGAACATTGGTGAGTCACAAAACCTAATTAGTCTCCACCAGACTTTTTCAGATTTCTTGGCTTTCAGTTTCCAGTACCATATATTCATGCTACCTTAAATGCTTCCCTGCAGCTCTGAAAAAATAATAACTAAAGAAAAAAGGACAATAGATACTATGACTAGCAGGAAAAAAATTTAGGCTACACTGGGAACCTTCTAGGATTAACATATCTCCAGTTACCCTTCTTTCCTTGCTGTAGACAGAATGATGAAAGCAGCACAGCCATTCACTTGTCCTATTGAGCAGCTGATTTGTGAGATTTGCCAATGCCCCCTCCTAAAGCATGGAGTGTGATCATTTCCTCCCAACTGAGGCCTGGAATGTTTCTGTAATTCTTCACTGTCCTGAGGACTTTTAACTCCTCTGCATAACATAATCTCCTTACAGCTTTCAAAATGAAGATCTCTTGCGGTACACTCCACATTCTCATCGTGTGGCATTTGGCCACTGTGAGTAGTCATGCTAATTTGGCATAGATGCCATGATTCACAGCCACAGCAACTGCATCTCATTATGCTTTTCTTTGCAGGAGAAAATTGTAGAGTAAGTTATCTGAGGACTCCAGAACTCACTGTTACAAGCAGAAGTGATGGATCCAGTTCCCCCTAACTTGATTTACTAGCCACTGTGGTTTTACTTAATGTTTTATGGAGTCAGTGTTTATCTGTTGTGTCTCTGAGTAGCAGTCCTGCAGTGACAAGCAGGAGCTAAGTGATAACAACAGAACAGGACCATATGAACATGGACTGAGTTACTTCTCATGGCAGACAAAATCTCTGTGAGACTGAGAATATGGACACCATTTATAGTGGAAATATGGGAGGACCAGCAATGGACTTAGAATAGAAAGAGGAGAAAAGCAATGACCTGGAAGTGCTCACAGATTAGCTTTTCAGTGAACAACTGGCAGAGCAACCAGATGTGAGAAACAGTAGGGCTCTTGAAATATGTTGCCATATCAAAGTCAATAAATCTACACTGATGGAGATGTACTGGCAAATCTGTTTTGACAAGAGTGAGAGAAGCTTGCGGACCACTGTGAAATACAAACAACTATATCAGAAACAGCAGCAGTCTAAGCTTGCCTGTTCAGATGTTAACAAGTTTATTTCTGTTTCACACTTTGCTTAACCTGACACACATTTCGGTGGGGATTTCAGTATGTGCTATGCTGCCCTGGTTAGTGAAGGTAGAGAACAGGCAAATTAAAACCGCAGTAGAAAGTACCTCTGGCAAATTAAGCAAAATGGCAGACCAGACTGAAGGCAAGATAATCCTACACAGTGAACACCCCTTAAATGACAAACAAAGCTGTGGCTTGGAAATGCTGTTTGCTGCTTTTATACAACTGAGAAAAGGTGAATTCTTTCTGACTAACATGGTCACTTCAAGGGCTGCAGGGCGTCCTTTCTTGATAAATCTTGTCTTTTTGCTAGGTACCTTATCAAGAGAAGAAAAAAAGTTGCTGATGCTACAAACCCTTTAATTTATACCCATACAAAATTAAAATAGGACATTGTCCTTGTTGGTGACTTGCAGCAGCAGTTACATCTTCTCATCTTCTTCCTCACCTTTTCAATTTTTGATAATCTGTCTCAAAGCACGATCCTGAATACTTTTGTGCTTTCATGATACATTCCTAAACCTTGTTAACAATAGCACTCAAATCGAGCTTTAAAGATTGTCTTCCCTAAACATAAAGATGTACCACAGTGTCAAGGAACTTGACAGAATTCATCCCTTTCTTTCAATTTTCCAAGTGAGTATTTGTAGGCATCATGGCTTTCCACTACCTATCATTGTGTCGTCCCCCCCTTACTTCTTCACATTGCCTCTCTAGTCTCCTGAACTACTATGAAACAAATAGAGCACATTTTCAGTTAGAATACGGCATTTGTCTGTGTTCTATTAACTGTGCTCACAAACAGGTACGACTAAAGCCCAGTTTGAAGCTTATTTTTGAGGTCACAGTGCCCTCTACTGTCCAAGGCATCCTCTTTACTTCTGCATCACAGTTAAAAACAATAGTATGCCAAGTGTTTATATACTTTTTCCTCCCCCGGAATTAACACATTCATTTCTTTTTCAATATGCACTTTCATCTAGACTAGCAGGCTAAGTCTGGGTTGTTTGATTGATTAAACAGGCCATTGTCATTTCTTGCTGACTCTAATGCTGCTTTGTCAGAGTTGCTGATAATTTAAATTAAGCCACTGATCTATGCAGAGCTTGAATCACACCTGAATTGTAAATGTTGAGTAATTCTACATGAGGAAGTGCTTTGACATGCATGCAAAGTAAGAAGAATCAGGCCTGTGTTTCAAGTACAAATTGTAAATCCATCTGCCACAGATTTGTATTGCTCCAGGTGATCATTCTGATTCTGCAGATACAAATCACCTATAAGGATACAGAGATGTCCTTTACAAACTCCTCTTCTGTTTGTGTTTGCCTTCACCATCTCTCTTCATGAATGGTGTGTGGTACTTTAGGTAGTTTCACTTCCCTGTGAGTGTTGCCTGAAGCACCACAGACTGTCCTGCAAGGGAGCCTGGGACCATCTCTGCCCTCACACCAACAACCCATTGCTCACAGGTAACCACAGATCCTTCGTGACACTCCCTCTCTCACCCTAAAAGCCCCATTAACCTTTACACAAGATGTGGGCTGCACTGTCCACCCCATCCCTACCACTAGGAAATCCTCCTTTCTTTTGATCTTAGCAAAGAGAATTCAAATCAAAAGAAGTATCTATAGCTAACAAAAATCCCTAGCCTAGCCCACTTCTCAAGAAGTGTGCAGCAGGTAGCACTGAAGGGGTTATGGGAGGAGGAGGGGAAGCACTTCCTTCTTAAATGTAGTTTGATGCCTTTTTTTTTTTTTTTAAGCTTGTCAGAACAACTCATTACACTCAGAGAGCAGCAGTTGACTTACTGTTTCACAAGGCAGGTGCAACCACTCCAGCTCCTCGAGGTGCTACAACTTGTTTCCCAGTAGGGGGTTTTGTAGCATGATTCCCCATAGCATGACACGTAGGAGTTCAGAGGATTTACCTTCTGGAGAGATTACATCAGTGATATATATCAATGTACATATTGATTGTGGACTGAAGCCTGAATATAGGACAGCATTTATTTTCTCATGTTAGCCTGATAGCAAAATGAGAATTCACTAAACAATGCACTTTCAAGTGTACACATACAAGTGTATGTGTTTCCATGCATGTATATATAAAAAGCATCTATAAAATACTAAAAAACAAACTGCACTGCTGGGCATGGAAGGCATATTTCAAAAGACATACTTGTCTTTAGCCATTTCCCCCATGCAACTGTCACATCACAAATTACAGAGAATTTCACTGATAATGAGCAGAGCTGACATTCCAGAATGAGCCCCAGGGCTACACTGCAAGGAAACTGTGGCCCACTAGTAAACCTGGGTTTTGCTGAAGAAATACTTCATGGAACAGATGCTTTTAAAATTGCCACTTAATGGAAGCATAAGAGAGTGTCAAAGAGCAGAATGCAGAATCAGAAAAAGGTGATAAAGTTTTAAAAAGTATTTTCTCTTTAGAGAAATCTTTCCCATCTGTTGATGTGTTACTTGGAAAAATTCTATCTGCTTTTCAAACAGAAAGGGAATCATTGCCTACTAACAACTCACAAGCTACCTGTACCATGTTTAAAGTAATTTCCTGTTAGCATACCATATGCATATGTAGAATTGTGTTTTGCAAGCAGCACAGAGCCTCCATGTTTCAGCTGTCATTATAAGCCTTATTGCCAGCATTATTAGAAAAACCGCAGAGGAAAGAATGCAAAATAAATTATGATAGTCTTACTTTACAGTAAACTGATAAAAAATCTCTTACATTAGAATGAAATCAGTCAACAGTGTTGTAGTTCTAGGAAAACAAAATGTTACATTGGAGTATGTGAAAAATAGTTTCATATCTCACTCCTGAAGTCATCTATTAACTCCAGTTAGTACTGGTGAGATCTCAGTTAAAGGAATGTGTCTAGTTATGAACACTGCACCTTGGAAAAGATATGGACCCACTGAAGGATAAGGAGTTTTCCCAATCTCCTTTACCCCTTACTGTCATTCTTATTTTACATCAGCAATGGTAGTTGCAAAGCAGATTTCCACCTTCATGAAGCACATAAATACAGCAGAAAACCCCCTTGAAGTCTACACAAGGAGATTGTGAAAAATATCCTGGAGAAGAGTAATCAGAGAGAATGCAATATCAGTTTTCAAATAGGCGAAAGGTTGCTACAAGAAGAGACAGAAGCACTGGATAAGTAGTGAAGGGCTAAAATTTCAGTCTTGGTCAAGTTAGACATTAGGACCAATTTCTAAGGAAAGAATAGTTAAGCATCAGAAACTTTAAAGGACCTGTGGAATCTCCATTGTTGGGGCTTCTTAAAAGGAAATAAGATAAACATCTTTCAGAGGTGGTTTAATTATAAACTGATCTTGGCTTGAGCCAAGGAGATGATCTTTGACGATCCCTTCCTGCCCTACTTTTTATTATTATATACCAGCTAATCCCTCAATGAGTATTTATGAAAAAATTTCATCCCAAGTATATCCTGACCCAGCTTTGAGCTGGAGACCACCCAGCTCCTCATATGCCAAAGAAAATGCAATTATTACCCTGATATGCCATACTCTGGTTGTTTATCATGAAGGTTTTATGTAACTTGGAGATGATCAGTCTCTACAATGAAATACGTCGGCAACACCTTCAGATTTTGACCACACCTGAAAAATCAAAGAGAAACCAAACAAGAAAAGAGAAAGAACTCTGAAAACAAAAGAGCAAGGGCATACCTGTATTATTTACTTGGGGTTTTCTTTTGATGTGGGAGAGCAAAATAAAAAGGAGGAAACACTGAGTGTGTAGTTAAAAACTAGCTTGGGTCTTAAAGAGGCACACAGGTTTCACTAATGGATCTACACAGATCTACTTTGTAAGTACAATGGATGATCTAAAACGAGAGATAAACAAGGAAGGAAGGGAGTTGTGACAATAACTGATTAATAGCATTGAGAACAGAGTCTGTGTATGTGGAATGAAAATGAAGAGGGACAGGCAATAAATGAAGAAGAAAATGAAAAGTCAGAGGACAAAGAAGAAAAGAGGGAGGAAAAGTCATATTGTAGAATAGCCTTAAATGTGCAAGTGCAACAGAGGCCTAACTCCAAGAGAGATTCCGCTGTTTTCAGTGTTCCTTACGTTTTTAAAGGAGTGCTATGGGTAGAAAGGAAATACCTAAGTGCTAGAGTGAGTTTTAGCCCCAGAACCTGGATCTCCTGACCTGCTACTTATAGTAGTTCAGAGACCCCAAGACCTCACACTCTCAGAGATGTGTAAAAGCTCAGTCAGTCATAGTTAAATTTTGCATGTAATTCAAGAAATTGAGAAGACATCCTTCTATGTACCTCCTCTACCCCAGGATACAATAAATATTGCTTTCTCAAAGAATCATATTTACTCTATTGCCCATGTTCAAGAATGGGTCTCACTGTCTCTTACTTGATAGATTTTTGCTGCTGTCTTCTTTTGAACTGACTTGAGGTCTCTTCCTCCTCAGGATTTCCACAGGTGAGTCCCAGAGGTCTTATGGGGAACATGTTTATGGTCCTCCCTCCACATTGTCACTACTACCTGAAATAGAATCATATTCATCTTGCCATCAGCCAGGACTCCCAGGTTCCTTTCTGCAGCACTGCTCTCCAGCCTCTTGTTCCTTAATCTATACACACAACCAGGTTTACCCTGTCCCAGGTGCAGAATCTGGCACTTGCCCATGTTAAACTTCATAGAAGAACATAGAAGAACTGCACTCCTTGAGCATGAAGGAAAGTTAAAGCAGGCAAAGGAGTTCACACCTACAGACACCTTACAAGAAGAAAGATTGCAACTACACCTTCAAGTTTTTATCACATTTCTCTTGTTGCAAACTTTACCTCAATAAATACTGTCAGGTTTCTGTCCTATCTCTGCTTTACTCTCCAGAGTTGCCCTATCCTTGTGGTACAGTCTCTGTAATTTTAGCACTAATGGAATCTTCTTTTCTGTGGTTTAGCTCTCCTATTTCTAAAAAACTCCCCAAATATGGCTTGGAAGAAGAAGGAATTCAAACTCAAGACTGGTCATATATCTTTACTCCCCGGAGTTGGTAGGGCTATGGCAGACACACGCTCTGGACTTCAGCATTTCCATTAAAAACATATTTATTCCCATTTCACTAGGGAGTTCAGCTGAGACAACCCGATCCTTTCTCAGAGACTGATTCATCCATTTCAGGGAGTGAATCCCTTTCTTTCATTGTGTCCACTTGAATATAAAATCAAAAATCATGAAGATTAAAGAGGAAAATAAGTCCTTAAGCTCATGATTTTTACTCAGTTACCTAAAGAAATGTCTCTGTATATATTATTTATCTTTGTCTAATTATATCAAATGATTCTTTACAGTTTAGCCAATTTCAACTTCATTCAACATCACACTTTAAAATAGTAGGGTGTGTTTTTGTATTTGGATGGCTTCTGTATCAGTAACAGTTTAGATCAATGCAATTTGTGGAAGGAAAACAGGACAAAATGTTGAGACCACTGCAAGAGAATAAATCACAAGGTCTCTTTATAGCTCACCATCGCCATGCTTTCTGAGACTCAAAGTGAAGGGCTACAAACATGAAAATGATTGCCACCAAAGAAAATACATGCATCTTTATGCAAACATTCAATCTACATAGTTTTGCCCTGAGTAAGGTGTTAGGTGTGGCACACTTACCCAGTTCAGCAGCAGCAAGTCCTGAACAACTATTCAGTTACACAACACTGGTGTGGAAAGAAAGCTCTAAGTGGGTGCAGACATCTGCTTTAATCCTTGCAAGGCTTCCTGAGCTTTATAAATTGCCTTTTGTGTCAATGAAAATCAGACTGTGTATTTTCTGCCTGGTATGGTGTTGAGTACATGTTCCAAAAGTATTTGAAGATTACTTCTTTGTTAAGGCACAGACTGATAGACTTGTTTTGTCTACCTGGAAGAAATTAGAAGTAGTGCATACAAGCTAACTCTTTTCTCTTGTTCAGATTCATTTATTGCAGACAACACTAATATTTGCTGAAACTAATAGAGTAAAAAAAATATATATCTTACCATCCATAATCCAAAAAGACATTACAGTTTATGACTTTCTGGATGCCATCCAACCAGTAAGTAGACAACAACCAAACAAAACTACTGAGATAAAAACAAACCAGAGAAAATCCTAATCAATTTAAGGAACATAAATAGATAGCTGATGCAGGCCAGCACCCTTTCAATCACCATGTGGATTTTGCACCTGAGGACCTGGTAGAAAATCAGGGAAAATATACTGGAGGCAGACTGTAGGTTAGGCATTGGGGGGGAGGAAGGGGGAAAGGATATTACTGCCTGAAAAACATTTGAAGCAGTACAGTGAAACTGTGCAGCAGTGGCAGAGTAGGTCCCTGTAAAAAGAACTGAGCTACCACTGTGTTACAGGGACTTGAGGTCAGAGGAGGGAGGCCAGTGGGAACAGGGGGAGTTTAAGGAACACCAGAGGTGGCATCTGTGGCGCGTGGAAAATATTGGATACACAACTCCTTCTCTGTTTCCTCCTTCGGACTTCCCTTTCTCGGCTCACTCTCCCAGCTCCGTTCGCCTCCCCGAAGAGGCGGATGCCGAGCCCCCCTGTCCCCGCTCTGCCGGGGCCGCGGCGGGCAGGCAGGGCCGGGAGGGCCCGGGCGGCCCGGCCGCCGCCACCAGCAGAGGGCACAGAGCGCCCGGGAAAGGCTCGGCCGCGGCCCCCGCTTGGACAGCGGCATTCCTCCCTGCCAGGTGGCGTTTGTCTCATGGCTGCATCCACTTACGGGAGGGACGGGTCAGAAGGTATCCCAAGGACCATTAGTTTTCAGTTAGGCAAAGGTGGGAGCTGGTCCTGTGTCTGCGTAGCTTTAGGGTAAGGCTGAGTGTTGGGCCACAGGTGAGAAACTCACTGATGCTTAATAAGAAATTGCGAAGGTGACTGCCCTCCATTTAGTGCAGCACACTCCATCCTGCCCTGCCGTGGCCTTTGCGGTGAGTTACTCCATGAGAAGAAGTTCCCCGATGGTGGTGGCACCTGAGCTGGAAGCATTTCTCTGAGCTTTGAAGTTTCATGGCAAGGTTATGCTGTAAGGGGACACCTGGGCCCGGAGTTGTATACGTGTACATAAGGACATCAGTGCGGGCAGCAGCTGTAAAGCTTCCAACCACTGAGGCACAGTAAAGAAGCAGGATTGTGGCACAGAGCACACAAAAAGGAGCCCCATCTCTACCTGTAAAACGAGGCTGGTTGGAAAAGGCAGGGTTGCAGCACCTCCATCCTTCAGCAGAGTCGGCACTCCACAATTCAAGATCATGTGGTACCTGGGGTAGCGGGGAAGAAACTGTGGCCCTCAAAGTACTGCTCTCGCACATGCAAGATGGTCTAAAGCTGTCACAGTACCCCAAGCCACAGAAGAAGGTATGAAGCTACCTATTGTCTCAGCCTTTACAGTAGTCAGTCCACACTTATGTAAGGTGGAGTTTTTAATTGGATTTTTTTTTTTTGCATCTAACAGTTAAATGTGTGATGGAGTGCTAATGTATAATAAAGTAAAGATTAGATATTCAAATGAGGTAGTGTCTTAAGACCCCACATGGCCAAGAAGTTCAGTGATAAGTGAATTTTTCAAACAAAAAATCTGGTTCCTGGAAACGGAAATGAGTTTCTAATTCAGACCAAATGATTTTCAGCTGGAAATGGAAAGAGGGAAGTATATCAGAAGTTAAAAAAAGTTATTTGATAGGTGATAAAATATTTTAATATTTCATGTGAAACTGATGTAAATAAGTAAGTTAACAAAGAGTGATAACTAACCTGAGTACACAGTCAATATTGTCAGTGAATACAATGTATGCATTTACCCAAAATACGTGGATCTTCTTGTTCTTTTAAATCAGACCTTTATACTCCTCCAAATTTGAGTTTTGCATTTTCCTTTAATTCTGAATTCATTTTCCCCTATTTTTCCAGTTCATCAGCCAACCAAAAAACATGCACGAGCCCAATTTTTTAGAGTCCTAATTAGGGCTGTGTAAAGAATGACAGTGAAAAGTCACTTCACCGTCATTGTTTATTTTGGTTATGCTACTGGAATAAATTATATTAGAAAAACATTTATTTGCTGACATAGCAACAACAGCAAAAGTTATTCTGTTTCCAGTCCCAAATATTAAAAAAATAAAGAAAAAAACAGTTTCTGAACAAGAATTATAAGGTGTTTTAAATATTATTATCCTGAATTTTGAAGCAGATTTATTCCACCTATTTCCCTGCCACCTTTTTTCTTTTTAATGGAAGCTGGAGTTCTCATGAAATTTTGTTTCTCATGGCCATCTTTTAATAAAAACAGCAAAACAACACAAAATTTACAATAAAATCACAAAAGAAAAATCAGAGGGTTGCTTGGAGGTAAAAAGGTTTCCCTAATGCTGAACTGAAATGATTTAGTCTTAAAATTAGGTTATGAGGAAGGCAACCATCCCATATTCAAATTTAAAATTAGTCTTGTACTTTATAGCTCTACACCTGGATATCTGATCTGTGTGGGTCTGGGTGGAACAACTAGTTTAGAATGTCTCGTATATGTAAATAAGGAAATCCAGTAAAAACAGCTGAAACCACACTCGTATTCATGAACAAGTTCCCTGCTATGGTCCTTTCCATCACAGAGATACACAGTACCTGTAGAATCAGGTTTATGCCCAAACCTTGTCATGTTTAAGAATCAGTGCTTTCTTTACTAGCAAAGGTGCAGACCATCACATAACATTTTTGTAAAGGCTTGCTTTTTTCTTTTTAAACTTGTGATTTCCTCACTAGCTTAAAATGCTTCATTCAAACACTAATTTTAAAAGTGACTTCACATGGAGGAAACTATTTTAAGGCACTGGTTAATTCAACATCAGTGAAGTGTGGAGCAAAACAAAAATGAAGTCATTGTTCATTTTAAAATTAGTTATGTCATATTCAATGGTGGGGGAAATTTTGCAGACCTCTGTTTCTTTTCTCAATTTTATTCCAACAGATTGGTGCACTTATTAATTCTTATGGCTTTCATTAGTTAAATGAAGATGATACACAGTTCCATGTTTCCTTTTCTGGGGTCTTTTTTGTCTTCTCTAAATAATTTCCTCATCTGGATGCATGTTCAGCACTTGTCATGAATCCCAGATAAAGCAGAAATCCATTATTGTCGTCCCATTTGTTGTCTTTATGTGTTTGGATAACTGGTTTAGCCACAGCCATGCAACTTATTTTATATGGACATACTCCAGAACTGAAGAAGGACACAGGGAAATAGCAGTGTATTCTAACACAAAAATTAGAATAAGGATTCATATTTCCTGTATTTAGGCATGCTTACACAGGTGATTTTTAAAATTTTCTTCAGTCAGGATTGTAGTATAGCTGAAATTTGGATGTATGATCTGGTTTGCCTTCAGGTTATATGTCAGTGGAAACCTTCTTTCTAAGCTAGAGTTGTCTTTAACCATGCTGCAGTTCTGTTTGTGATCATATTGCACGTGTGACTTTTAGTATTCTTTTCTGTGGTTTGCAATTTCTCGTGTGATTTTAGGTTTTAAAATGTCTGCCCTATTCTCGTGTTATCATGCAGGGCATAGTCAGTACAAAGTTTTATGCTTGGCACATAGAGCAATTCATCTCAAAATTACATGTTATTTGCTTAATTTGGTATTTCTATTTACACTAACTCTAAATACCCACTTAGATCTTATGATCAGCTTCCAATTTATTTCTACTGTAACATCCGGACAGTTGCTATTTATGTCTTTCTAGATTTTCCAGTGTGTTCATTCTGGTGGAAGTGTCCATCTCATCACAGCTGCACTGCGGATTCACATTTCCAGAATAATACAGGCATTAAAAATATTTTAAGCCATAAGTTTCTGTGTGTGAGAGAGAGACCTGTAGATTGCAGATCTTAGGTTCTAGGCTCTTAGATCACTCCAGGAATCTACAGCCTTGAGTGGCTCTAGGCACAAGCTGACAAGGCATTTTCTCAACATCAAGTAGTCCGTGTGTCTCTATGTTCCTGGACAAGGTGGGGACAAACCAATCTCAAACCTGCTGCCTGCTTTGCTGCCTATACCAAAACCCTGAAGAGGAAAACATTTTCCTTTTGCTGTTGGGGAAACTTTACATGCAGAATGGCAGCAGCTGCTCAGGAGCAGGGTGGGAGGCACCACTTCCTGGCTGTGGTAAGAGCACGCTGATGCGACGCTTCTCCATATCTTTTTACACTCTGACTTCTCCTAGCTTCTTTTTTGTCAAGACAGCTCGAGCCCATCCCTCAAATTCTGGACAGCAAAATTCAGTTTTGTCTATATTGTCATGATGGCAGTTCTGGTTTTGAGACAAGTATACAGGCTATTCTTCTGCAAAACACAAAACAACTAAGCTCCTAAGAAGAGGATCCACAAAAACCAACATGTCCAAAACCCCACAAACAAACAAAAAACAAACAAACAAAATAAATTAATCTCTGCAACTTACATAAGTGCTCTTATTATTTAGGTAGCAAATAAAAAGGAAGTATCCATGTGTTCTCTAACAGTTTGGCCGAAGTTGAAAGAACAGGAGAATAAAGGCATAATATTATGGCATGGAGCAAAAGAAGCTTTAAAATAATTCAGGAAGGAATGTTAAAACGTTTAGGCTGGCCTCTGAAAAAACCATAAACCTTTTTAAATAGCAAACACTATAGCACAGCCTTTCCAAACAGGACTTAGAAGCATAGTTCTTACTAAAACTTGTGGGAGCTGTGCATCTATTTCCATAAGAGCTTTGAAATCTCAGCCTATAATATTCCTTGTTAGTCTTTTCCCTCATCAGGTATGTAAGAAGGAAAACATTTTCTGTGACTGAAAACACAAGTAGTTGTCCATCCGGAACTACTGGAAACCATGCCAAGTTGTCTTAAGTGCTGGATAGGCTATACAATACATACTAATTCGTTTAAGAACAACTGGAAAGTGTTTAAAGTCCTGTAAAGGAAATTATGAGGGCAGAAGTGTTAGACTTTTTTATGTTCCTACAAAAATGCACAAGGTTCCTTGTGCATTGTAAAACGAGGGAGGGAGCAAAGAAGGCCAAAGTCTTTAACTGTCTGAAACAATCTAATCATCCTCTGGAAATGCACTGTTTGGGGTGACTGTGTTAACTGAAAATGGAGTGATTAAATAAAGTCAGGCTGATAAATCCCCTGAGTACTACTAACTTATTTGTAATGTCATTGAAGATGAGTAGTATGACTGGTGTCTCAAGTCTAAAAGCCATGACATTCAGTGGGAAGGTAATTGAAGCCTGCCATTCCAAAGCCCTCGGTACATGTTCAGATATTATCAATGCAAATTTTATGACCAACAATTTGCATCAAGATAAAAAATAATTCCTCTTGGGACTAATCCATGAGAGAGCACAGGAAGAAATAATAATTGATTTGTGACTATGTATCAACCATGGCTTTAAGACAAGGAGTAAGATAAAGAGAAAAAAGCTGCTCTCCCCCACACTTCCCCCATACTTTTACGCCAGAGAACACCAGTGAAGACCATAGACTTGTTGTCTCATAAAATCATATGGGATTTTCAACAGACAGACCCCTAATTGAAAGCAGTCCAA